AGGTAAAAAATAACCATGGTTAGAAACATAATGATGATAGTATTAGAAAGTGATTAATGAAAAATAGGCAGATGCATCTGAAGAAGAAGGGCAAAACAGATTATACCAGAAAATGTTAATCCTTCATAAAACATGATTAGGTACTATCATGGAATGTGTTTTATAAAGGAGCAAATTGTTAGATCTACATTGAAGAACTATTGACAGAATTCATGAATTTTGCCGATCAACTGAATGTGGAGATTAGAAGTAATGTTCTTCTCTTAATTGCTAGTCATGTTGAGGTTGTAGCAGGAAATCAGATTGAAAAGGATATTGCAGCAATTGCCTACCATTCGTGAGAGATTCTTGCGTATATTTTGCCGAGAGTTGTTTAGCAACCATATAATTCAATCACTACCTTCTGCCCTGAGGACCACAGGGTCCTTGCAACCGCTTTTCACGGTCTCCCATATACCATTTACCCTCGATTACTTTGGATTTTAGAAGTCGTCGATACTTCTTGTAGTCCCCTTCAAGCAAATGTACAGTACCTGACTTTATACTCCCGTTTCCTCAGAGCAATTGGGCGGAGGAGAAATTTTCTCGTATCAGGAAACCAACCAAGATTCCAACTCGCTTCGAAGGAAAATTTGATTGCAAGGGATTTATGAATTGGTCTCGTCGAAAGCCGAAGGTGGATTGTCTCCGATTGGATACTGTTGGAATTTGTGAATAACTTTAGTTCATCTTCATGTGACCTATAATCTGTGCTGAGTATTCATCTCTATCGGATGAAAGGACATTGCCAGACCCTTAAGCTATTTCTTAGCAAGAGTACCTCGAGAGGTTAACAATTATGGTCGGCCCAAATCTACCAAATTTTGCTATCTTGATTGGGCATCCCATTGTTCATTATTTTCCTTTACAGTTTTAATAATTACTATACATTTTTGCCAATGAGTAAATTTGTATATAAGTAGAGTTCCGAGACTACCAGTAAATCAATTATATGAGATGTATTCACCTTATTTCGTTTAGGTTTGAAGGACTGGCAGTATAATTTTCCCACAATGATATGAGTAAAGCTGACGTTGAGAGCTAATATTGGAAAAGCAAGGCTATGTAAAATTTAATGGAAACGTCAGCTCTACTCATCTCATTTACTACCAGTCCTTCATCACTTTAAACGAAATAGAGTGAATACATCTCATATTACTGATTTACTGGTAGTCTCGAAACTCTACTAACATGCGAAAAATTTACCACTGCCTTCTTCCTAACACTTTATCCTAAATGAAAATGCAGGGTAACATAAAATCTTCAAAGGTTTATCATAAACCCAACTTTTATTGATATATAGTCAGGGCAAGTTGCAAGAGTTAATCACAACTTTTTATAAATACTAAGCGGGAAGAGTGACTTTCTGCAGAACTGCCATCCTGTTTTGATCTTAATGAAGTATCATATGATTTAAAAGGCTGCTTTTTTTATCCAACTTGTAGCTGAGACTCAATTTTAATAATGAGGGCCTCATAGAACTTCTTTATCGTCTCATCAGTGAACCCTAACCAGATATTCGCTCTTGCTATTTCGCAAATCTAATCGGCAAAAACTTCGCGTATGTGAATACATATATGTGCTCACATACTAGTTTGCGTTTTTATCCTAAGATGATTCCCTATTAATTTCTGCGAGAGGACCAGATGAAGCACACTAACCGCTTCAACTGATACCAGTCTCTTCCTCCTGAAGGTTTTTTCTTGTCACTATATAAGCCGCCTCAGCCAAAGTGTATAACCCTCAATCAGTGCTGTCTGATTTGGAGTGGATAGTAAGTTACTCGGTTATATCCGTCCTTTTTTGAGGGTATGCTTTTATTTCTAAGATCCTTTTTCTTCTTGGGTCTCCTCTTCCTGTCGCACCTATTTCTAGCATTGCTTTAATTAAATTTCCAGACCTACGCAAACCAATTAATTTCTTTTACGCCATCCCGTTGGAATAAGGTAGCGTGCTGTTAAAATTCGTCACACTAATATGTCATATGTACGTGTGTGCTAACGCGCATCTTCTCTCTTCTGTCTGGGGCAGTTGGTTCAACGCTATCCCCTCATGACCTACACCCTAATTGAAGCCGCACTTCAATCGCCCCCAGTACCCGGATCTTCTTTTTGTTCACTCAACTTTCTCTCCTGCTCCTGCATTCAAGCCAATGTGCATGAACGTTCATTTGGTTAACGGCACAGAGGACGCCTCGCTTCCCTTCTCGTCCTATTGGCTGTTGCATTTTCTCTCCCCATCCTCTCTCTTAAATCTTTCTAGCTCCTTCTGTGCGTTGTGTGCTTGCCTGCTTATGTCCTTATATGTGCTTGTGTGCATGCCTTCACGGGTGGCACGTATGCGGCGTACACGTACGTCCCGCTTTCTGTCCGCCTGCAACAGGTGGACCGGTAGGCCTATTTTATCCTCACTCTATTCAACACCATTACTAGCATTAACACACCACCTAATCGTGATCTCTCTTCTTCACATCTCTTGATTTGTCTTTTGTCACTGCCTCCTTTTCCTGCCTCCCTCACTTCTACTTTTGGGACAACTCTGTGCCTAAAATGTAAATAATCGCGCTCAAGTGTGGGAAATCACAATGCCGAGCTCAGTCTATCCTCCTTCGCTAGTCCACTTCTTGACCCTCGCCTCGGCACTCAGTCCGGAGACAGTTTTGCCTACGCACTTGCCCCCACCGTCACCACCACTGCTGTATCTGCCAGCCCCTCATGCTCTACGAATACCACCACCGTTGCCGCTTCACACTCCTCTCGCCAGCACAAAATCCACGACTCGCCGTCTCGCAATTCGGCTCAGCACTCGGTCGTCGCCAGGGCACGCAACGAATCGCCGCCTCCGACGCCGCCGCAAGTGACATCTGAACAACAGAAGCCAGTCACTGACCCGACTCAGCATCAAGCGGCTCGCCAACCTTGTTGCTTCGCAGCCCCGTTGAGTACAGTTAGCGTTTCACAGAAACACCGTCCTCTCGCATCGGAGCCCACGAAATTCGAACATTCCCTTCCGCACCGCTACTCGTGTACCTCGTCTCTTGACTCTACCTCTTTCGCGTCATCTTCGCCCTTTGTCTCAGACGCCTCGGATTCCGGCCTCGATCACCAGGCTTCATCGAGCACATCTGGCAGCTCCGGTGACCGCCTTGCCGTCTCGAGCACCTCTCTTGCTCAAAGCCAGCGGTTCCCTCTGTCGACCACTGTCTCGGAGTCGCCACACTCCCAGCCTAATTCCATCACAACCACCACTCCCGTCACCACAGGCGCTATCAACAGTTTCAGCAATCCCGATTTCGCACAGTCCACCAACTCTCCCCTCGACCTGCTTTATCTGCCGCCTTTGCTCGTCTCCCGGCCGGCATCAGAGCCCATCGGCCCCTTCGTTTCGGCATTCGGTACAGCCCGAAGTGGTCCTTCCTTGACGCAGACCCGCGCGCCCACTCCTTGTCCCTTTCCGGGTGGCCCATTCACCCAGGCGCCCTGCTACAGTGGCCATCAGCCGTCGCCGTCGGCGCTGCTGGCTGTGCGAGACTCCTCCTGGCTTAAGTTGCCCGTCTGCCCTTCTCTACTCGACTCCGCGCTCTCCTGTCCCGGCCGGTCTCTGTACGAGTCGGGTTCAACGCCGGACTGGCTCGGCAAGCTTGACGCTGACTCAACTGGACCGGGCGACACTGTGAAAGGCGAGCCACTTGCAGAGGACTGCCAGACGGCCGTCGGTCAGGTCTGTCCCTGCGCCCATCCCCGCTCAAATGTCCGAGTGGACCGAGGATTCGTTACTGTCTGCTACGACTTTCTAAAGGTTAGCTGTCTACTTCCTATTGTCTCCAGTTGTTGTTTTTTTACCATATTAAATTTACCCATCCGATTAATCAAGATGCTTGACATTGTCGAATTGATCTCCTGAAATTGTGCAGCGCCTTTTTTTGCCATTCGCTTTTTA